TGTAATTTATTCTATTCATTGAATTAGCAAATTTTGAGTACAAGGGTACATCTCAGGGCTACACATATGTAAATTTAAATTAGCTGTGCCTGAATAAAATGATGTAGTATTACTACTAAAAATCTTAGTACTGGCTAAAGTTTGGCAGGGGCGATTTAATCTCAAATCGTATGCAAGTCAGTACTGTGAACCAAGAAAATTGATATCTGGATGAGTTCACACACTTTCCAATTCAGTTTAACTTATCCCAAGGAAACATAAAGAACCAAGTCTTTCCTAGAGATGACTTGAAGTTTATGGCCCTATAAACTCTTTTTGTCTATTTTCTATCTATGGCTCTCAGGAGATAGTAAAAAAAGATTTCAGTTTACTTTTCCTCAATGTTAACCAGGTTGCATTGCCCAGTTAATGATAACAGGCAACCGTAACTTTTTCTCCCTCAGAAAATACACATATTTGGAGAGGTGCAGGAAAGGAGGTTGGGGTGACTGGACCAGAAGTGAAGCAGCTGAGAACGGAAGTAAAATTATTTGGCAATGCCAAAAAATTCAGAAAACCTCTGAAAAGTCTTTGCCATCTATGCAGCAACAATCTGTTCCACCATCTCCATCATCCCCTCCAGCACTTACTGCCCAGAGGAAACAAATGGTCAAAATATATTGTCTGTATGTTATGTCCTCAAAAAAACCCAATGGGGTAGGCAGTATTATTCGTCTCACTTTGTAGATGAAGAGACTTAGGGGCACAGAGATTACATCATTTACCCAGCGTCATGCAGGCAATTAGTCATGGAGATATGATTTGAACCCAGGCTGTCTGGCTCTAAAGATGATGCTCTTAGCTTTACTGTATGTCTCTAAAACTTTAGGTCGCATTCCATTCCTGAGGAGTAAGCTAGGAATTCGTTCATTCGTTCATTCCACAAGGATGTACTTAGAACCTGCTGCGGGGTAGGCACTTTTTTAGACTCTGGGGCTGGACCAGCGGACACATTTCTACCTTCATGGAGTTTACACTTAAATGAGAGGGAGATGGGCAATTGAAAAAATAAGCCTATAAGCAAATTTCACGGTATGTTAGAAGTGATAATGAAGAAAAGAGAAACAGGAAAAGGAAGGCGGATGCCAAAGGGAAGACCTCTGTGAGAAGGTGATACCTGGCCAAGGCTTCAGGCTGGCCACACAGATGTCTGTGGGAAGCACTGCCCCTCCCCCCAGACCCTCGGGGACAGACTGGGGATTGCAAAGTCCCTGCAGGGCTAGCGCAGGTGTAATAGCTAACAGCAGGGAGTTGCAAAGTTTTCTAAACTACCATGTTGTTCATTTTGTTCTTATTTTTACTTTATTGGTCAAAAGAATATGAAAAGGAACATATACTAGTCATACACTTGTCTACAACTTGGAAGTGATAAAACACCCGTAAGAATAGGTCTTGTTCTCCCAAAACTGTTTCCTACTTTTCAGCAGGAGATTAAGCCTAACGTGATTCAAATAAGTGGATTGTGTGACAATCCTGTGTTGTCCCTGTCATCCTTTCTTCTTTGGTAGGTATTTCTCTGTTTATGTTGTTCAGAGATCTGGCATGTTCCATGTGGGTGCATGTGGCATGGCTGACTGAATTTCTTTTTTAGGGTATTGCTTTTCAGAGTATGCATAATGGCATTTTTTTTGGAACTGGTAGTAGATAAAATGAAAAGAGAGAGAAATTTAAGCCAAAAAGGAGTCAACACCTCTTCAATTTGCCCCTTCGAGTGCATTTAGCATTTTTAAGTGACTTAAAAGCAACAAAACTCTTACTTTTGAACTTTTCTAGAAATACCTTTAAATCCTCATTTATCAAAGCTACATGAGAACAATAGTATTGTTAATCGGCTTAAACAAGAAGACAAAGCAGAGATAAGTTAACGGTGAGGTTTGAGGAGGTGTGCAGTGGCAATGAGGGTGACAGGTAATGGAGTTTAAGAATTCAACAGAAAACTATAAGGTCAGAAAAATAAAATTGTGGAATGAAGGAGGGGCGGGAAGAAATGGAAGATAATTAATGTAAATGGACTGAAAAGTAAAGGGAGGGCCAGGAATTGAGAGAAAGACTAGAAATGAAGGAACCATTCAGGGTTAGAGGTGACAAAATTAAATAGAAAGTAAAAGTATTATACAAAGAAAACTCAAAGAAGGTACTGAGAATAGACCCACCATTGCAAAGCATAATTAAGACATAGAAGGGAAAAGTTGAGTCTCGAGAAAGTTCACACTCAGCAAATCATACAGACCTTCTTCCATCCTAATCCTAACCCTCCTCCTCCATTCTCTTCACATTTCAACCTGCCCTCAACATCCACCCAGATCTGAGCATCTCCCGAAGAGTTGCACTGGTCATTTAAGTTAGAGATGACTTTTGAGGCCATACATGGGATCCCAAAATTTGGAATGGCCTGATTTTGTGGTAGACTCTTCACAAGTAGTTTGCTAGTTAAATGTTAATTGTTACAAGGGCAAAGAATCTATAATTAAATCATGGTGCTATACTATAGGACGTTTATCCCGTCTAGGTAGAGAAGCTGTCAGGTCCTGTACTTTTTATTTATGATATTGGCATAAGCAATTTGTACCATGAAGCCCCTCACTTGCCCAGGCTCCTTCCAAGACTTTGGAAGAGGACCCTAGCAAGGGGTACCCACACTATATCTTTTTTCAGTAACCTTTGCAAAAGTAAGATATTTTGTAATCTTTCCTCATGGGCCCTAAATTGCACAAGCTTCAGGTTCTAAAAGTCTGGATTTGCCACTAAACTTGGATACAACAAATAGTAGCTATATTCCAAACCACATTTTCCCCATATGCCATTGTCCTGTGTGTGTGTGTGTATTTAAATTCTTTGTAAGTCTATATGAAAACATCAACTTATCCAATTTCTAGTTTATAAAATGGGGAAAAAAGAGAGAAC